CTCTCCCTCCCTCCCACCCTGCTTCTCCCTCTCCCTTTCTTCCTCTCTCTCCCTCTCTCTCCCTCTTTCCCTCTCTCCCTCTTTCTCCCTCTCCCTTTCTTCCTCTCTCTCTCCCTCTCCCTCTCCCACCTCTCTCTTTTTGTCTTCTGTCAAAAAATAATTTTGTGACGAGAGAATGCAGACCTGACATTTGCTGTTTACCAGACAAATTTTAGAAGTGGTCTGGTACGAGAAACAGAATTTACACCTGAATATTGTCAGGCTTGGTAGCTGACTTGGAAGCTGAAAACAAGATTGCCTGCATTTCCTTTAACTAAAACTTCCTTGTTTTTAGATAAAAACTTCATTGTGGACCACAAAGCTGCTTATTTTCTCCCCACATTTCTGAGGAATTTGCAAATAGATGGTATTTTTTTAAAAAAAATATTATTATTACATTTATACTCCCATCAACTGGGTTCCTCAAATTAGGCGGAAATGGAGCTAAGACACCCAGAGTCACCTTACAGGGGAAATTTATCTATCTATCTATCTATCTATCTATCTATCTATCTATCTATTTATTAAATAATTAATTAAATAATTAAATGATCAATTAAATAATAAAAGAAAGAAAGAAAGAAAGAAAGAAAGAAAGAAAGGAAGGAAGGAAGGAAGGAAGGAAGGAAGGAAGGAAGGAAGGAAGGCCTGTTTGAAAGGAAGACTTCCAGGGAATATCAGGATTGTAGACTGGTCTAGGAAATAAATAAATAAATAAAACTTCCTTGAAGAAGACAATGGCAAACCACTTCCGTATGGCTACCAATATTCCTGAATTTACCTGCAGTTGCAGAGGTGCTATTCAGCCGGTTCGGATCGGTTCACCCGAACCGGTAGCAGAAATCGCATGCATTCCCGCCCCCCACCCCCACCCCGGCTGTATGCCATTCCTTTTAGGCATGATTTTTGAGACCGGGCTCAAGCGCAGAAGGTCCGCATGCCAGCAAAGTGCATGCACGGAAGGCCGGGTGCATGTGTGGACAGGGTGCGCACGCGCATTTGCGAACCGTGAATACCATCCCGTGAAGTTGGACGTGACTAGAGGGAAATTTTGGTTTTAGTTTACAAACCAAGTATATTGGGGAGTCCAGTCAATGGTATTTGAACTTGGCCATAATGTTAAGGCATCATTTCATTGTTCTATAAACATCATTTATGTTCTGTTAAGCTGGCCGAACAGGTTGCATAAATTTAAGAGTTTACAAACAGGTGACTAAATAACAGACACAAGTTTCTCCTTACCTGAGGAACGCCCCAGGAAAAAGTGATGAACGATGCCAAAAGGTAGAGGGCCAAAGGACCGTTTGTCCACCTGTGCAGTCGCTAAAAACAACCAAGAAAACATTGTGATGGCCTCCCCGTTATTGAGCATTAAAACAAGCGTTTAGCTTTTCAACATCCATAAGGCATTTTATGGTGTCTGCTTTGCTTCTATGACAGTGATGGCTAACCTTTTTGCCGTCACGTGCCAAAAGCGGGGGGAGTGCGGGGGGATCATGTGCGTGCGTGTCCACACCCATAATTCAATGCCCCCCTGCGCCCTGCGCATGTGCGCACGACCCCCCACCCGCACTACCCCTGTACTTCCCCCGCTTTTGACATGCGATGGCAAAAAGGTTACTGGTGGGCCCAGTAGGCCCATTTTTCACCCTCCCCAGGCTCCAGAAGCTTTCTTGGAGCATAGGGAGGGCGAAAACAGCCTCCCCCACCCTCGCCGGAGGCTAGAAACAGCCCGAAAATCAGCTGGCTGGCATGCACATGTGCGCTGGAGCTGAGCTAGGGCAATGCTCGTGTGCCCACAGATATGGCTCTGTGTGCCACCACGCCATCACGGTCCTATGAGCTATATCTATCTCCTCAATAAAGACTTTATGGGCCTGAAGAGAGTCTTACTCAGTCTTTCAAGATTGTCCAGATAAGGAAGTAGCTTTCATACATTAGATAGAAGACTGGAACTAAACATTTTTGGCAAATCTGATTGGGCTTTTTGTCCTCTGCTTGTTATATCCAGTGGTGGAATGCTGCTGGTTTAACAAAGTTTGGTGAGGGTGTGCTTCGTGCATGCACGCGCGCTTGCGTGCAGCGCTGAAAATGGAGCATTTAGAAGCTCAGCTGCTTACCTTTCAAGTCAGCAACGGTAAGTAGAACAGCGAGGGGGGGGAATCAGCTGTGCCGCGTGACTGAAATGAGCTACAAAGCAGGAAATAAAGGACAGGATAGAACGGGGGCAGGTGGGCGGGGACAACTGATCGTCAGAGCTACTGGTTCGCCTGAACTGGTCCAAACCGGCTGAATACCACCTCTGGTTATATCCAAATGAGTCAGGGAGGAACAGATCTACATTTCTTCCTAATATTGCCTTCTTATGCAGGGCTTAAGGAACGCTTCTGCTCATTTTATTTATGTAATGGTTTCCTAATACAGGTAGTCCCTGACTTATAAACATTTGTTTAGTCACCATTTGAAGTTACAATGGCACTGGAAAAAGTGGCTTATGACCGTTTTTCACACTTATAACCGTTGCAACATCCGTGATCAAAATTCAGGCACTTGGCAACTGACTCATATTTATGACAGTTTCAGTGTCCCGGGATCAAATCACCTTTTGCGACCTTCAGATAAGCAAAGTCAATGGGGAAGCCAGATTCACTCAACAAGCTTGTTGCTAACTTAACAACTGAGGCAAAATTCACTTAACAATTGTCTTGATTAGCAATAGAGATTTTGGGCTCTTTTTTGGTCATAAATCAAGGACTACCTGTACACACACATCTACAGACATCATACAGTTATAACTGGGCTCTTATGGAACAAATACTGAATCAAAAGGAACGCCTAGTTTTAAAAAAATGATTTTTCTACTGAGGGAAAACTTTAAAGAGTGCAAAGTTTAAGAAAGATAGATAGATAGATTGGTAGATTGGTAGATTGGTAGGTAGGTAGGTAGGTAGGTAGGTAGGTAGGTAGGTAGGTAGGTAGGTAGATAGATAGATAGATAGATAGATAGATAGATAGATAGATAGATAGAAAGAAAGATAGATAGAAACATAGAAACATAGAAAGATAGAAGCTGAAATGAAATGACAGCGATTTTTGCTGTTTTAGCCATATGGCTAATCTAGACAATGATTAATTCACACCATAATTTTCACCAAGTTATGCCCTTCATCTTGACTTTCATAGCTTTCATCCTTCTTAAAAATGTACATATTCAAATAGAGATAAAAGATCTCATGTTAAAATCCAGAGATGTCATGTGAAAATCCAGTTTAGATTAGTCCTTGACCAAGATATAGGCAATAATATTTAAAATATAAACGTAACTGTTGCAGAATTCTGAATCGTATTTTCTATGTTGGATTTTGCAAAGATCTCATTAGGCTGCTAATTGTGTTCTCTGGATTTCAGTGACCACGATACCTAAAAGCCACACGGGGAGAAATCTGATGTTCCACAAGTGAATAGAATAGAATAGAGTAGAGTAGAGTAGAGTAGAGTAGAGTAGAGTAGAGTAGAGTAGAGTAGAGTAGAAGTAGATAGAATAGAATAGAATAGAATAGAATAGAATAGAATAGAATAGAATAGAATAGAACAGAACAGAACAGAACAGAATAGAATTCTTTATTGACCAAGTGTGATTGGACACACAAGGAATTTGTCTTTGGTGCATATGCTCTCAGTGTACATAAAAAGAAAAAAAATACATTCGTCAAGAATCATAAGGTACAACACTTAATGATAGTCATAGGGTACAAATAAGCAAATCATACTAGGAAACAATCAATATCAATATAAATCGTAAGGATATAAGCAACAAAGTTACAGTCATGCAGTCATAAGTGGAAGGAGATGGGTGATAGGAACGATGAGAAGACTAATAGTAGTGCAGACTTAGTGAATAGTTGATCATACTTGATACATACTTGATCATCTAAGAATCATGAACAAATAACCATTATTCCTACATACCTTCATTTTCTGCTGTCCTGAGGATCTGATCTTTGGGAGGAGAGAGTTTCTAATGGATAGGATGTGATGTGATGAGTTTTTATTAGGCTGGAAACTCTATTTAAGCCTTCCGAGTAGAAACACCCTCCCCATTGGAAGCAAAAATAAAGCATTCAGAAGGGATTTCTTGTCAAGGAGTGGCTGACATCTCCTGGAAAAGAGGGAGGGTGCTGTCTTCCAAGGAAAAGTCATCCAGGATTCTGACATATACGCATTAGCATTCATTAGTAGCAATGACGATATTGCTCTACGGCCAAAATTGTGGAAACCTTTTGGGGAAAGTGTATTTTCTAAAACTAGCTAATAACACCACTTTTTTTTTTTTTTTGGAGTAGTATCATAAAATTATATATCAATGGGAAGATAATTTAATCAAGAAGGTAAAGTAATCACTTTTATGAAGGACTTGCTATTAGAATAGCAGTTACAGCATAAAATAGAAAAGTGAAACACGTAGAAAAAATGAGATATACAAAAATTATCAGGTCAGTTAATTCTTTGTTGGGTAACCTTTAGCATGAATTATGGCCTTATGTCTTCCCATGGAGTAACCATCTTTCCAATCAGCCTCTATATTTCCAGTGTCTTTCTTTACTTTACTTTACTTTTATTTGATTTATATACCGCCCTACTCCCGAAGGACTCAGGGCGGTGAACAGCCAACAATAAAATACATATATACAAAATTTAAAAAGCAGAAATAAAATCAAATTAAATAGTTTGGCCCAGACAAATTAAAACCCCAATCAATTTAAAACAAATTTAAACTTTGAGTATTAAAAATATTAAAAATATTAAAATTGTTTAAAAAGAGGGAGAAAGTTAGGCCAGGCCCGCCTGATGGAATAAAAAGGTCTTTAGAGCGCGACGGAAGGTGCGCAGATCCGGACTCCTCCGTATCTCCGGGGGGAGCTCGTTCCAGATAGTAGGTGCCCCCACAGAGAAGGATCTCCCCCTGGGGGCCGTCAGTCGACATTGTTTGGCCGACGGCACCCGGAGGAGCCCCTCTCTATGAGAGCGTATCGGCCGGTGGGAGGCTATTGGTGGTAGTAGGCGGTCCCGCAAGTACCCTGGTCCTGAGCCATGGAGCGCTTTAAAAGTGATAACCAAAACCTTGAAGCGCACCCGGAAGACCACCGGGAGCCAGTGCAGCTCGCGCAGGAGGGGTGTTACATGGGAGCGCCATGTCGCTCCCATTACCACCCGCGCGGCCGCACTCTGCGCCAATTGGAGCCTCCAGGTGCTCCTCAAGGGGAGCCCCATGTAGAGAGTGTTACAATAGTCCAGGCGGGAGGTGACGAGGGCATGAGTGACTGTGCGTAAGGAGTCCCGATCCAGAAAGGGACGCAATTTTATCCCGGGACACATATATTTACCTTCATTTGTGAACCCCAAAAGTTTTAGCTCTTTTGAGGGAGGTACTTTACAAGCCTCCAAAACACAAACCCCAACTTGGTATCTTCACACTGGGCGACATGCATCGAATTTCAGTTCTTGAAATTTGCAGAAGCTGTTGAACTATTTTGGTACCCTCAAGAGGAAGATAACCTCAGTGAGATAAGGCAGTTTCTAAATGTTATAATAATGAATGGGGAAGTTGCAGCTGTACGTCTGCATCTTGGGCTGGAGGAGTGGTGAAATGTAAAATTTGTTACTACCAGTTCTGTGGGCGTGGCTTGGTGGGGGAGTAATGTGACTGGGTGGGCGTGGCCAACTTTTTTTTTTTTTTTTTACTTTTAAAAGCATTTTTTCTAATGCTTTGAAAAGCCTCTGCCAATCAGGCAACTCAGCTGGGATCATCAGAGACTTTTCAAAGCATTTTTTTTACCACCTCTTCGGCCAAGAGGTTGCAGAAAAAAATGCTTTGAAAAGCCTCTGATGAAATAGAACCAACAAAATATGAGAAGGAATTGATTAGAATTATGATTATAGTGGGTAGAATTATAATAGCCAGATATTGGAAATTAGATGTGAATTTTAGAATAGAAGAATGGTATTGTGAAATGTGGAAATTAGCTTTAAATGATAAAATGACATGTGATATTAAAATTAGAAATGGTGACTATAAAGAAGATATTTTCTGGAAAATTTGGAAACCATTTGTGGACTATGCGCTGGGAAAATTGGATGCTTCGGTACCTGTACCCCGAGAACGTGGATTTTGGCGATCATGAGGATATATCCGAAGAACCAAATCTTCCTTTCTTATGTATAGCACAGGGTGAAGTATTGTATATGTTGTTTGTAATGTTAGTAATTTAAAATAAAAAATTAAAAAAAAAATGAAAAGCCTCTGATGATCCCAGCTGGTCGCACAATCATCAGAGGCTTTTTTTTTAATTTTTTTTTTTAATTTTTTAATTTTTAAAAGCATTTTTTCTTCAGAAGAGGTTGTAGAAAAAATGCTTTTAAAAGTAAAAAAAAAAAAGCCTCTGATGATCGCGTGGCTCAGCTGGGCATGGGGGGGAGGCAGGGATTTTTGCTACCAGTTCTCCGAATCACCCGCCACCATCGCTACCGGATCGGGCGATCCGGTTCAAACCAGGAGCATTTCACCCCTGGGCTGAAGGGAGGGAAGGATTTTATGAAAGTTCTTGATTGTTTAAGGTGTCACGAAGCAATTAATAATGGGCTGTCTCCATGCCTAATCATGCTTATATTAAATCATGCCTAGCATGGTCCCAATTGATTTTAGTTGATGGACTCTACAGATGACTAAGGTGAAGCTTCCTTCCTGTTCCTCTTAGATAAGTGCTGTCAAAAAGCATTAGTCAGATACAGATCATTTCCCATCACTCTTTAATATGAACAAGAACTCAGCTTTGTCATTTAATCAATGATTCTGAAATCAGCATCGGGAAGAGAAGATCACCAAAACAGCGGGGGGTGGGGGGGCGGCCTTTGTTAAAGTCAACTATTGCACACACTCTGTTCTGATGGAAAAGGGCAGTGTCCATCAACTTGACAGGCCTTGTCATAATACCCAACGGAGATAAGGTAACTTTTGGGGTGAACTTGTTTCTGATTTTGAACATATTGGCTGCTCCAATGAACCCCAAACCTTTTTCACAAGGAAACTCCAAGCTTAGGTTCTTACCTTGAGCTAACTTGTCCTGTTGATTGCTTTGGGGCAAATGTTTCATGTGAATCCATAAACCATGGAGACAGGAATGGGCTTCAAAAAATTTAGCAAAGGATTCTCTGCCTGGTTGCTAGGTGGGCTTGGCTATGGTGGACGTGGCTTAGTCGGCTTCCTGCACCATGGCGGGGGCGGCATTATTGCCCTCCCCAGGCTCCGGAGGTTTTTTTCGAGCCTCCGGGAGGGTGAAAATGGCTTCCCCAGGCTCTGGAGGCCCTCTGGAGGCTGGAAACGGGCCCATTTCCGGCCTTCCTGAACTTCCGGTAGGCCTGTTTTTCACCCTCCCTGATCCTCCATGCGCACCCTGCACTTACCTGCATCTAAAATAAGCTGCATGGGGACTCCTGGGAAGGGCGGGGCAGGGTGGGCGGGGCCAGCCAGGAGTGGGATTTGGTGGTTCTCCAAACTGCACAGAATCTTACCTAGAGGTTCTCCTGAATCCCTGCGAACCCCCAGCAGCCCACCCCTGCATCGAGAGTGTTGCAAACAAACACCTACGTTCTGATATTTTTATTTTTGTTTTTTTTTTAATATTTAAATATTTTAATTGATGAACCTTAACAAAGAAGTAGAAGTATCTTTGTGCTTCTACCAGAGCCAGAGCTACCACCCAGGGCATGACCGGAACGAGGCCCCAGGCATGCTGCCGACACATCCCGAAAAGCCCTCCAGGCCGTAGAGGTCCCTCCCCACCCAGCCGAAAGGAGGGGGGGAACTCCAGCCAACGATGACCAACTGCCGGATCCTATGACAGCGAGGCAAAAATGACCCAATGGTGAGTGAACCGATCCACCCCTTCATCTTCCCAAACAGCCCCAAAAACAGGAACCCAGGGGACTTTTCAAGCCCTAATAGACTCAGGCTGCTGTTCTGTCCCCGTCTCACACACGCACACAGACAGACAGCTGGGGGTTAAATAAACTGGCAGACAACCAATTCTTCCAATAAGAGGCTTGGCAGCAACCCAGTAGCTGCTTGCCAAGAACTTTACTCATAAACAAGATACACACAGTTCAAGAATTGTCCAGTCCGTAATTAAATCCAAGGCAGATAATGCCGTTTCCAAAGATGCAATGTGACTCAATAGTAGTTAGTTTTGTCCGTCACAGAGTCTGAATGGCCACCTCACCCCCTTTTATACCCTGTGGGGTGTGGTCCAGTGACTCAGCTTAATCTCTGGCACGCCTCTTCTTCTGTTGCGCGCGCTTATCTCTGCGATGCTGCCGAGGATCCAGCCAAGACTCATCTCCCTCATTACTGTCCACCTGTTGCTGCGTGGACGTGCTTGGCCCCAGCCCTATCTCTTGACCTTTGGTGGACACCGACGGCATTGCCAGAGAGGAGGGTCCTGGAGAGGGAGGCCTTGCCAACTCCTCTCCTTCACTCTCAGAGTCCTCTCCTGCCGATGACACAGGCTCAGGTAACGGAGCCACAACAGCTGCACTAGATGCTTGATTAACCTAACTACGGTCCTGAAACTGGGATTAGAGCGAAAAGACTGGCCCACCCGATCAGGTTCAAACAGGTCAATGGGTCCCTATTGGGGGGAGCCTATGCCATCCACCTGACTGAACCAGTGAAGCTAGAGATCACTGGGAAGCAATTCAATTCGTAATAGCCCCCAAAATGACAGACGCGAAGGATGAGCTCCAAAACCTAAGGCAGAGAGCTAGCATGTAATATCTGTATTTCTCTAGGCCAGGGGTCGGCAACCTTAAACACTCAAAGAGCCACAAAGGTCCTAACCGGAAGCCCCCCATTCAATTCTGGAGCCAACTGGAAGTCCAGTTCCCCCACCATATAGACTCCTCCTAGCATGGTGTCCTCTTTCATCTACCTGTCCTAACCGAAAGCCCTATCAATTCTGGAGCTGACTAGTGATAGGGAGCCGCAGCAGAGGGATGAAAGAGCCACATGCGGCTCCA